TTTATTCTTAGTGTCAGTTGGCTCACTGATGGTGATAAAGGCACGTCTCATCATTCAAGAGTAAATTTATTCGATCAGGAAGGGTGCCAGCTGTAGTTAAACGTTCATTGATTGGAAACAACCCTGACAATATTGTCTGGCAAAAGATTGGTCGGGGGACTATGGTTGATTATGTTTCCGTTTTAAAAATGTTGGACCCCACCATTCTTGCATTGACAATGCCAACGTTTTTACAGTTTCTTAAAACGGTCAGGGCTCGGATCGAGGTTTCAGTTTTGGATTCCCTGCGCAACTAGCCTTCGCATTTTCCGGACTGCTGGTCATCCCATTCGGATCCTCGATCGAGGGACGTGTGAACTAAGGGTTAAAAATATAAAATAGTGAGTACTTACAACGGATCACTACTAATCGTTACATATTCAAACTAATATTGTCAACAGGAGTTCTATCAGCTTTTTGTACATCTCAGGCGCGCCCAAGATTCAATTATTCCCGCAGGGCTGACGGCAATCGATGTGATGTGCACACAGATCGGAATCCGATTAAATATGGACTGTTTAACTGCACACAGTGATTGTAGTCGAATGCTCAAGACCATCGAAATAGCGACCTAGGTATCCTGAGTTTTAATCCCACTACCACCACCTGTCGTTCCTATTCTTGTAATTCCCTAAGCAGCATTTGTATGACCGCGGCCCCATTCCAGAAAGTCGAATGCACATTTGCTCAGTAAATAAAGAAGAAGCCCTTCAAAACTGTCATACACCTCTTTGTATCGAACGTGAAATACCTGGGGAAAATAAAGCAGTGAGATTAATCCACCGAAAAACGTTCAAGCTGAACTAACTGGAGGCAGTGATAAGTATCCATTTTCCATTGTTCGTTCACATAATGAGTGATAAAGAAACCTCAACCGAACAATTCGATGCCCTAAGGACCCAATGAATAACAAATCGGTGGATTGGACCACGGGGTACCATTAAGTATCTAACTAACTGACGGCTGTCATTCAAGTTTTTACACACCCTACTCGTTTCCCTAATACTTTTCCTTCCCTCACTTTTGTGTTCCTGTGTGTGTTTGTGCGCCAGTCCGTCTGTATGTCAGATGTCAGATGTGCAGTCCTCCTGTGCCGACCGGAATACTGTAGAGCCCCGATCTGGATCACGACCGCCTTGCCGGACGACCACTAGAAGCATAGCCAGGTGTGTGACGGTGTTGACTGTAAAGATGAGCGAGCGTTAGGTAAGCGGTATACATATATACACACACACTGAGTGAAGCTCGAATCGATCGAGAGATTTTGCACCTCACCTCACTACTCTCTGCCTCACTTTCTTGTGTACATGCGCCCTCTCTTAATGGCAGCTGGTTGGACTACATGAGGAGTTAAACCACAGTGTATAGTTAGGTGACCATGTGGCAAGTTGTCGACCATTTGGACATGGGTGCATGCTTGTTTCGAACCAGTGGTGATTTCGGGCAACAACACAGGAGGGAGTAAATGGACTGTTGGATTGGAAATTGGGATATGAGTGTGTGGGCATATGTATGTGTCAATACACATAAGCCTCGAAAGGTCACCGGCGGGTGAACGACAGGTCAAAAAACGAGGACTATCGAGGTTGAAACCACAAAAGCCGGGTGGAATGAATCTTGGCCGATCGAAGGTTTTCCGAGTTCTAACCATCGGGGATGTAAGATTCAATGATAATCGAACACATGATCATCAAGGTCAAGCGAACTACCGGGCAGATGAACAGAAGTGGGAGAAATATAAGCAACGTGGCCTGTACCCATCATTGATTGTTTCGGAAAATTATCCTGTTACGCGATGAGAATTTTTGTTATATATTGAATATTGAATAAAATAGGTCAAGTTCCGTATAGGAGGTATTCGTCATTATTAAGACTTAGAAGTCCAAGTTATATATTTTCTGCGCATCTTATTTAAATCGCTCGGTTTCAAGGACCCACTGAAAGTGATTGAGTGCACTATGCACAGCGCACGGAATAATGTTTGCTGTGTGAAAATCATCGGCAGTCTCAAGGCAATCCTACAAGTAAGTAATTATGAAAATTCTCAAAGTTATTATAATAACACAATCTAGAAATTAACCCTTGGTATCGTTTTTACCCTAGTGAAAGAAATCTCAGACGGTGAATTTCGAATAATCAGATGAAAAAAGCTGTCAAACACACAAGTGTCACCTTTAATCTTGTCAGAAACATATTCCTACATTCTATATATTGCATTCACAATCAATTTCGATCTGAAAGCTACTTGCGAAACGTTTGGTTTGGCCTGTCCTTTCCTTTCAGAGGTCTCTACACCAAGGATTACTAACGTATATTCAGATCCCAGAATTTCCTCTCTACATGTAGCAATATACTGTAAAAAATATATCAAAGCTCAACACTACAACATTCATTGAATTTCATTTACCAGACTGAATTTGTCTGGCATGGAGGCAGTGTTTTCACTACACGCAGTAGTTCCCTATTCCATAAAGTTTTGTTCAGTTACTGAATAATCACCAGTCATCGAAGGGCATAAAACGTTCACGTGACTGCGTGACGTGCTGAAAACCATCGCCAACTGTAGTGATCAGCTGGAATCTGGATTATTAGGCTGGCATGTTTCACACTATTGTCTACGATTACATCAATCTATCCGAAGTGCCCCCAGTGGCTAACTCCACAGAAGCAAAACTATCCAATAGTTACGATTTGAATAAATGAGAGTGGATTCCATTGGGACCAGTCGTGCAAACTGAGTGACCTAGGCAGGATGCAAAGTTGGTGATAGAGATTTCTTTCATTTTTACTTTCTTTTATTGAATACGCAATGATACAATTTTCAGGAAGGGGGCAGTGGCCAATTAAAGGGCCACCACAGAACACACAAATGGGGAAAGTTAGGCGGTGGTGGTGGGATTCGAACACTCGTCCTCCTGGGTGATAATTTGGTGACGTGACCACCGGGTCACCACCTTTGTAACATAGGTGATACTAAATATAATGCAAACTAAATTTATATTATTCAATACAAGCTGACAACGCCTAATACCAAGCTCGTCTGTTAACACTAAAGTATTTCGTTCCGCCCCTCAACCGCGTTCGTTGTTATCCGAGAAGAACAAAAAATGCATGGGGGTAGTATAACTGAATAAATGAGGGAACAATGATGGAATTTGATTAAATTCGAATATTTGGTTCAATGAAAACGTTTGAGAGAATCACGCTCTACGTGAAAGTTAGAAGTCGTCGACTGTGTCTAGATGACTCAAGTACAGAGTTCATGCAATTCAAAAAGCTGACCACTCTCGCACGCCCACATGTTTGAAACCTGTTGCATTTGATGAAGTTATTTTTCAACTGATCCCCTCGATGAGTGATACCTCTACTTTTCTAGACTATTCTAAGGTCAGAGCATAAGTTATACTATTATCAGGAAAACGAAGATCTATGAGACCAAAGTGGTGAAACTATACGTTTTTACAATACACCCTACCATGCTCCATATTTTTAACTTTTGATCATCTGCGGAATTGTCGCCAAAATGGCTAATATAAAAAAGTAAAAGAAAAGAGATATATGGTTCATCGATCCGGATGACGAACAAAATAATGAGGATGCAATTGGTCAGAGAGTGGTGAAGATTTACAGAGCACGCGATCCAAAATGGATTGTACCACGGCGGCTACGCAATATGCTTACAGGAATATATCAGTCAAGAAATGCTTGAACATTTCCATGATAGCATTGAGAAAACGAGTCGGTGAGCAAACAATTGTTTTCGGATATTCCTAGTCATGCTCTTATATATCATATAGTGGAAAAATTCTTACATACTGATAGCCATTGGCCCAATTTAAGGTCATTACTCAGAGGCCATGGCTATACCGATTAAAATATTGTCAATGCCTTATATTACAAACAGTTACCAGAAATAACATATGCTTTCTCCCAACTGCGGATTTTCCTGCGAAACGAGCATGAAATCACTTACGTACGATCAATATAGATCGAATAGCCAACAGAGACCTATTTTTGTGACGTCACCATAATCAAGACCGTTGCTGATCATCGTAGACGCCATGCACTCCGTTCTGTGGGCAGCCTTACACTGCAATTGAATGGAGTGATATTTTGGATTGGAATTCGCTATTGGGCTAGAAAATGTTCCACAATAAATGGCAAGTAGTTTCAGGATAAATAGACTCTTCACGCTGAAAAAGAACCAAGTGACAAGTACACTGTTCTAATGTTAAGTTGAGGGTATTAAAAATGTCGATTTCCTTGATACATAAAGGTAATATGACACTATATTCACTTCCACTTTAAATAAACATTAGAAAGTCATACATAATGGATATAAATACAGGAAGTAACGTAGTTTTCATCGATCCAGTTTATTTTATCACAGATATCGCTATTGACTTTTCGTGTCACTTAAAACCATATACGGCTGACAGATATTCTGTGTGATAGTTTCAGGCATTTGTCCACTTTCCCGGAGGAGGTTGACTGAAGATGTATTTTTATCGATTAGTGCACGATGATGCAGACCAGTTTACTACACTCACGCGGTTCAATCTATGAAACCTGTCGGGATACTGAGAGCGGACAAACAAATTGATAATTTATCATAAGGACTTTTAGACCTAGCAGAGCTCAGTCCCATCAAAGATGAGAGAGACTAGATGACACGGTTCAGTGTCAAGTACGGTAATGTTGGCGGCATCTACGCACTTCCTGAACGCATAACTTGCCTGAATTCTATACTGTCATCTTCACTTTTCAATTATTCTCACTCTTTTTTTCTCATTGAGCGATCAGATGGACAACCCGAAAGACAGCGACGTAAACTGAAGCGCGAAAGTGCTAGACCAATGGTTATTCAAATCGAGATTCAAAAACAATTGACACTTGATAGCAATCTGTCGTTATCAGGCCATCAGTCACATAATTAAAAATTCCACATCAGTACTACTCACCAGATGGACTGGACCGAACATAACATTGAACCGCTTGATCTTGTCCAGATCGAATGGACTTGCACGGTGTTGAGGTTTCGACATCACGCATAAAATTGTTCACAGGGC